CGTTCCTTGCGCAAGAGGCAATAAAAGAAAGAAATGATGTTACATGTATCCAAAATTAGGGTGTCCTGTTTTTCTTTTCTGTAACAAGACCTACTTTTCACGGACACCCACACCGGAGACCTCCATTTTTTTGAACCCTTTGAAAGAAAGCAGGCCGAAGACTTAAGATTTTCTGTGCTCCCAAAAGACAAATCGCAAGCACCGTCTTCCTAAGACTTTGGAGAAGGGGATGCTCCCAAAACACGCCCCCCAAGATTTTGGCAAAATGTGCTCCCAAAAAGACAAGTCGCAGGCGCAGCCCTCCAAAAAAATTGGACAAGCTTATGCTCCCAATCAGCTTTTCTTGTTAAAGATGAGTTTACATGTCTTCCTACCTTGTTCCTTTCTTCTTCCGGTTCGCTCGCTCGTTCTCTATCTCTCTCTCTCTCTCTCTCTCTCTCTCTCTCTCTCGCTCGCTCTCTCCATCTTTTTGCTTTTATGGGCGGCATGTCTTGTAGAATTGGAAGACGAGGAGGAGGGTGAACTACAAAGCAGAGATTTGCTGAAGCAGAGAGGGAGTGAGACACGGCGAGGCATAGAGAGAGAAGCATAGACCGTGGGAGAGAAAGGGTCTCTTGACTCTTAGCTTCCCCTTTCTCAAGTCCATATTAATTTTCTTTCTTGTGGAAAAAAAAGAGGAAAAGAGAAGAGAGAAGAGGAATTTACAAGTTCTTCCTACCTTGTTCTTGTCCCTCCTTCTTCTCTCCCCCCTGACCCTGTCTCTTTTTCTCTCTATCTCCTCATTTTTCTGTTAAAGTGGTACGGGAAGGCGGAATGAGATGAAGGCAGCGTCCTCCCCTGGAGGCACCTGCCCACAAAAAAAGGAGCATCAGCTTCCAAGAGATTTGCAGAAGGAGAGAGGGAATGAGACAACGCAGGGCATGGAGAGAAGCGTAGACCGTGGGGGAGAGAGAGCGAGAGGGCCTCTTGGCCCTCTTGGCTTTCCCCTTATCTCGTTCTCTGTTTAGACAAGAAAAAAAGGGAGTTTGCACCTTCTTCTCGCTCCTCACTCGTCTCTCTTCTCCACACCCCTCTCGCGCTCCTTTTTTCCCCCTTTTTCAGCGGGCTTGAGGACAAGGGGTTTCCCCACGACCGCCCCACGCTGCACTCACTCTCTCTCTCTCTCTCTCTCTCTCTCGCTCTGTTTTTTCTTTCTTTTCTGAGAAGAACAGGAAGGGGTGGAAGCTGATGCTGGGTGCCTCCAGGGGGGGGACGTTGCCTTCCTCTCATTCGTACCACTTTAAAAAGAATGAGGAGATATAGAGAAGGAGTGACAGGGTCAGGGGGAGAGAAGCGGGAGGGACAAGAACAAGGTTAGAAGAGGCCATGATAGTACGACTTACGTGACAGCAGCGTGCCCTCGTGGGAACGTCAAGTTTTCCTCCAAAGAGCCAAATCAAGCCCTGGTCCCTAAGATATTGGGTTCAAGTTTTCTTCCAAAGAGCCAAATCGCAAGCCCTGGTCCCTAAGATTTTTGGGTTCAAGTTTTCTTCCAATCTAAGAACATGTCTGGCGACCCCGAAAAGACATAGACTCCCAGTTTCCCACGTGACAGCCTCGTACCCTCGTCGGAATGGGTTTGGTAATAACAAAACCCGAGTGCCAGCTTCCAAATAAACCCTATTTAAGCCACCCACGGGGGGGGGGTTGCCCTAGAGCCTAAAACCTGAACCCTAAGCCCTAAAAACCTAAACCCTGAACCCTAAACCCTAAACCCTAAACCCTAAACCCTAAACCCTAAACCCTAAACCCTAAACCCTAAACCCTAAACCCTAAACCCTAAACCCTACTTCCGAAACCCTAACTAAGCCCATGACCCCTCGAAAGCCTTAGCCTCTGCCCAGCTCAGGCATCGTGCTAGCCAAAGAGCTCATGGCGAGGCTCTTTCCTTGGGCTTAGGGTTTCGGGTTTCGGGTTTCGGGTTCAGGGTTTGGGGTTTAGGGTTTAGGGTTTAGGGTTCAGGGTTTAGGGTTTAGGGTTCAGGGTTTCGGGTTTGGGGTTCAGGGTTCAGGGTTCAGGGTTCAGGGTTTAGGGTTTGCAGGGTTGAGGGTTCAGGGTTCAGGGTTTGGGTTCCGGGATCAGGGTTCAGGGTTTCAGGGTTTAGGGTTTAGGGTTCACGGCGAAGTTCACGGTTTAGGGGTTAGGGCGCCCTCTGCCCAACTGTTCAGTTGTCCTGGGGCGGGGGGTGAGAGATCTGAGCAGGACCACCAAGTGCGGAGTTTCCTGTCTTGGTTGATGGGCTCTGCTGAGTTGGACCTTAGTCACCCTGGTCAAACAGCTCCACTGTGAATAGTAAACCCTGGACCAACCCACTTACCACGAGGCCGCACCTCGTCGAGAAGAGGAAGGTGTTGGAGGCGACTGCATATCTGGCAGCGCTTCTCTTGGGGCTTAGGGTTTGGGGACTTGGAGTTTCGGCTGTTTAGGGTTTAGGGTTTAGGGTTTGGGCTCTAGGGTCTAGGGTTTAGGGTTTTGGGCTGCATGGCGAGTCAATCCTTCTACGTTGTGTCTGGTTGCGGTGGCCCTCAACCCTAAACCCTCAACCCTAAATCCCTAAACCCCTAAATCCCTAAACCCCTAAACCCCTAAACCCTAAACCCCACACCTTGTGCCTGCAACTTAAACGCAGCAGCCGCTACTGCGCTGGACCCTGCCAAGTGCAGGACCGCCGTCCGCCATGTACTGCGCGTGACCGCGGCATCACCGCTCTTGCGACCGCACGACCCAAAGCCCAAAGCCCGGAACCCTAAACCCTAAAAACCCTGGACCCCCAAACCCCAAACCCCACACTCATGCATCATCCAAGCTTACGTGGCCTCCTACAAGCCCAACGTCCCAAGGCCCCGCTTGGAGGCAGTTGTTCGGGTTCTCTCAAGAACCTTCGGGTGCTTGTAGCTCTACCTTGTAGCCACTTCCCAAGTCCCCGGATCCTCCAAATACTAGAGAAGGCTCCCCAAACCTTAGGCCCCAAAGCGGGCCCTAAACCCTAAACCCTAAACCCTAAACCCTAAACCCTAAACCCTAAACCCTAAACCCTAAACCCTAAACCCTAAACCCTAAACCCTAAACCCTAAACCCTAAACCACTTGGGGAGGTTGGAGCGGGCTGCGGTCTCCTGGGCCTTGCCGTTTCGCGATTGGCCAGGAGTGGGTTCTCATTGGTCCTCATGTTTGTGGTGGGGTTTAGGGTTTAGGGTTTAGGGTTTAGGGTTTAGGGTTTAGGGTTTAGGGTTGGGGTTGCGGGTTTAGGGTTTAGGAAACAGGATTTGGTTTTTTTTTTTAAATCTTTTTATTGGGGGGCGAGGAGGGGTCGTTGGTTTTTGTTGTTTTGTTGGGGGCTGCTTTTTTGGACGTGAACACATGTTTTCCAGCTGACGCGTTGTGGGGGTATGTCAGGGATATTGAGGGCATTTGGACCTATTCATTGGGACTGGGATTTAGCCCCTGTCTTTTGGATGTGTTGGCCTGGCGAGGTCGGGGACGGTCGCTGTTTGCCTCTTGAGCTTTTACATGCAGCGAGCCAACCCGCCGTTTCCGGAAACATCCCCCCACGTTGACAGAAGACTCGTTATGCCGAGCCTCAATCGTGATCTTGAGTCTTGAAGGCAGACACTCATCACCGACGGGGACGAAGAGGCTGACAAAGAGCTTAAAGTTTGGATGCGGAGTTTGTGCCCTGAACCCTAAACCCTAAACCCCAATTCCGAAACCCTAAACCCTAAGCCCTGAACCCTAAACCCTAGAACGAAATCCTTGATGGCAAGCTTATACAAAGAGGAGCGTTTGTCTTCCTTGCCTTGTGGGGGTTGTGTAGGTTGACTCTTTCAATCCTTCCAGGGGATCTAGGAAGTCGGCGGAATGTGCGATTTGCAGCGGTCCGCTCCAGGTGGTGCGAAATTTGGCCCGGAACATCGACCTGAACAGGCACTTCGGAATCCCATCCCAGTACATATTAAACCCCCCGCCTACCCCCAAGTATTAGATACCCCCCCATATGCTGTAATGTCACTATGATGGGATTATGAAAAAAGCAGGGGTGGTGAATATCAGGGGAGGGGATTAGCCAGAGGTTCTGCTTTGTTGAGTCGGTCAACCTCCGTACCCTCCGTATTGCCTTGGCTAAATATGCCCCCTAAGCCCCTAAAATCCTAAACGGCCGCCTCAACCCCTAACCCCTAAACCCCTAAACCCCTAAACTCCTAAACTCCTAAACTCCTAAACTCCTAAACTCCTAAACTCCTAAACTCCTAAACTCCTAAACTCCTAAACTCCTAAACTCCTCAACCCCCAAGACCCCTAAACCCCTAAATTGCCGGTTGAGCGTTCTGAGCCAATCGACGCTTTGATGTCGGATGTCACCGGCAGGTCCCGCTGGTCTGGTGACCGTACCTTGGGCGACGTCCACCGGCCTAATTTGGCATCTTGCAATCCATGCGTGCAATATAGAAGTATGAATAAACATATACGAGGCAAAGCATACGTTCATAAATCATGAGAAATTATGTAGAAACAAAATGAAGCAACATATAAACACCATCTGTACGTAAGGTATGTATGTACGCATGCATGCATGCGATATGTGTATGTATGAATGCATGTATGTATGTGCAACAGCCCCGAAGCCCAAAAACCCAGAGCCACACATGTTTGCTGCCAGGTCGCTTCGCGAGTGCTTCGCTGGGAGGCCGACACGGTGCAAGCACAACACAAGGGGGTTTGTTTGGGGGTCCTTGCTTTAAGGGTGCTGTGCTATTTGGGGGACTTTAGAACGGGACTTAGGTGCTATTAAGTGCTTAATGTCACAGAGCGTCCTGCTCTTGTTGGCATTGTGTGCCGGCGTCAGGACGCAACCGGTGCTAAAAGCGAGAGAGGTTTGTGCATTGGCCGCTTCAAAGTGCCTCAGGAGAGCGTAGGTTAACAGCCCGCGAAGAAGGCAGACCCGTCGAACGATGTGTCTTGTTCATGGTAGTCCTGTTGCTTGGGGCGAGCCATGTGTCAGACGGGATCCGACGGCTGGCTCTTGAACGCCACGAGTCCTTTAACATGTCTATACCGGGTAGTGGAGCCTTGGTTCTGCAAATTCTGTTCAGCGTGCCTGACATTCTGGACGATGCTGTCAATTTTGCGGGCCTCGAAACTCTAGGGGATGTGTGGCTGGCATCTGAGAGACTGACGGAGCATCTGCTTCTTCCCACAGGCCAGCACGAGTCCTTGTACAACAGTGCGTACGCCACTGAAGCCTGTGCGCACCTTCTACAACCGTCATTGGTGATTGTCACGGCCATTATCATTGCTAGTCCTTGGTTGCTATGACTTTTCTTCCTGCAACCCTAAACCCTGAACCCTAAGCCCAAACGCTAAACGCTAAACCCTTAACCCTAAACCCTAACCCTAAGCCCTAAGCCCTAAACCCTAAACCCTAAACCCTAAGCCCTAAACCCTAAACCCCAAACCCTGCACCTTCAGTTCTTTTGGGCTTTCAGTTTCTGCCCAGCTGCCGCGAGGAGCTCTTGGACGATCCGTGGCCGCGCGAGGACCATGTGGAGGCCTTCATGCGCGCACGCGCGACTAGGGTTTAGGGGTTTTAGGGTTTAGGGTTTAGGGTTTAGGGTTTAGGGTTTGGGCACCACGCTTGCTTGGCGCTGCAGTGCGCTTTTCAGACTCGTGCCGATCTTCCGAGTTTTTGTCGGCCATGCATGTCCCGAGTCGCATTTTTGATCTGCCTGCTTCTTTAAGTTCTCTTTCTCTCGGGTGTTCTCCGTGAAAGCTTAAACCCTGTCTGGCTCGAGCAGGTGATTGTGGCCTCGGACATCATCTACGGAAACTGGGGCGAAACTGTAGGAGAGGCGTCGCGGCACATGTTTTGGGAAGGTTTCGGGATGTCGCTGACCACAGCCACAGGTTCTCTGAATTATGGTCCCTTTTGAGGTAGAGGGGCCGCCTGGGAACAGTCACCCCAAAATGGACCCTAATTTAGAGAATGACGCCCCACATGTCTCCGATTGGAAGGCTTTGTGCCGCGTGCCAGAAGCTCAGCAAATTGCAGCGGCCCCCGATCTCGGCAAAGAGATGCTCCAGTGAACCCTGCGCCCTAAACCCCAAACCCTAAACCCTGAACCCTAAACCCTAGTGGCCCAGGCTGGAGCCGGATGGAGTCATCATTCTTGCCGCATCCGAGGACACGACTATTTTCATGATTAAAATGAATAATTCTTCTTGTTATTATTAAGTACTATCATTCATACCATTATTAGCTTCCGACATGATTATTATCATCATGACTGTTAGCATGATCATTACAATTATTCTGAGTATCATTGTTGTTTTCGTCTTTTTCTTATGATTCTCTATTATCATTATGGTGTTAGTATTAGTATGATCAGTATTGATCATCATGATGATCATTGTTCTTATCGTCAAAGTGAACCCCCCCCCCTCAGCCCTAAACCTGCAACCCGAGGGTTCAGCGGAGCGCTTGACTCGACGTGAGCGTGCTAGGACCGGCGGGGTGGCATGCGCTGCTTCCAGGAGCTTCTGCTGCCTTCCAGCCCATGTATGAACATGGTTGTATGATTAACATGATGCGATGGCCCAAACCCTAAACCCTAAACCCTAAACCCTAAACCCTAAACCCTAAACCCTTATTGTTATCTTACTACAGATCCCCGAGAGGACCACCTGAAGACAAAGGGCTTCGGAGTGCTGGAATCCAAGCTCAGGCCGGTTTAGGGTTTAGGGTTTGGGCTAAGGGTTTAGTTTGAGGTTTAGGGTTTAGGGTTTAGGGTTTGGGGTTTGGGGTTTAGGGTTTAGGGCGTCTAAGATCGAAAGTTTCATTGCCACGGCATCTGCGCCCCACGATGTCAGCCCTCATGTCTCAGCATCTGCACATGGCGTGCCGTAGCCATTTTGGGAACTGTCGAGCCCTCCTGCCCTTTTCCACGTCGCGTCGCCCGAAGCAGCCATGTCCGTCACCGCAGAGGAGGTTGCCAAGCACAACAAGGACTTTCAAGCCAGAGGCTTTATGTTTGGAGCTTAGGGCTCTTTGTTTAGGGTTTAGGGTATAGGGTTTAGGGTTTAGGGTTTAGGGTTTAGGGTCTCTTTGTTCAGGAGCTTAGACTCTGTTCAGGGACTTACGCTAAGTAATTAAGTTACCCGATAATAAATCCTCAGAAGGTAGAGACTGCCAACTCTGAAAGTCTTATGAACTTCTAAAGCCTCGCAGGACAGCGACTGCTGGGTGATCGTTGGTGACCAGGCTAGTCGATGCAAAAATCGCACACCGTTGTCGCAGTTGTAAGGACAGGGACTGCATGTTGTCCATGATTAATCTACGAATATAGTTATGTAACAATATACTCATGCAACCTTGTTACACTATATTAGTATACTAAGTAAGAAAATAGTATCACAATACAACAAGATCAATATACCAATATAATGATACAATAAAAATAGCAGTATTGAAAATTATGTACGTTCGCGCAGCCAGGTGTTGGATGTTACCAACTTTCTCGCCGATCATCCCGGCGGCAAGAAGTCGATCATGATGTTCGCCGGCAAGGACGCGACGGAGGAGTCACCCGGCGACTTATTGGTGAGGGGATCTTCCCTAAACCCTAAACCCTAAGCCCTAAGCCCTAAATCCTAAACCCTGAGCCCTAAGCCCTAAACCCCCTAGTCTGTGGTCAGTCTGAGGAAGGTAAGGGGCACCTCGGTGTGTTTGGAATGTTTCAGTGTTGGTCATTTTGTGCGTTGAAGGTTCGACATGCTCCACGACCGCAAGGTGGGGAAGATCCTACCCTAGGTATGCCCTTGGGACATGTTCTACTTTCCCTTGTTGCGTGTAAGAGGATCATGTTCAGGAATATTTTTCAGAGGGCTTTAAGGGCCATCCTAGTACCAGATCTTGCCGCGCGACCGAACTGCGCTGTTGTTGCCAGTACGGTTCACCCTGCAGGTGATCAAGAAGTATGGCCTGGACGAGGCACCCCGCTTTGAGAGTTCGGGTTGGGATGTTCCCCCTTCTTACTAAGAGTCCTTAAAGGGTGATTAGAGTAGGGGGTACGATAATCCCATTAAGGACTGTCAGTATACGGGGTGAACATCCCAAAATTAGGGCGTGGTGCCGGGTGTGTGAGTCTGGTGCCTGTTAAGTGCACCTCGGACCAGGGCACGGTTGTGCTGAAGGGCACGATCAAGAAGTGATCGGTGCAGACCTTGGCCCAGGGGAATCGGAAGAACACATCGATCAATTTAGGACATGCAGCTTCCCTAAACCCTAAACCCTAAACCCTAAACCCTAAACCCTAAACCCCTAAACCCCTAAACCCCTAAACCCCTAAACCCTAAACCCTAAACCTTCAATCTCCGGTCCACCTGTTCGCAAGGCTGCTGAGCTGAGCCAGCTTATTGAGAGGATGTCCCTTTGCTGTGGAGCAGTTGTCTGAGTGAGGGATCGCCCTCACGGAGTTCGCGCTTGCAGAGCTCCTCTGGATCTTTGTATGTGTACAGCGCAACACAGCCTAAGATGCGATCTTCTCCTTACACATACCGGCGGAGCGTGTTGAAAACCTGCCAGCGCACATCCGGCACGCATACCCCCTCATGGGGGCTCCTAGAATGAGGAGTATAGGTTTTTGGGGGGGTATAGAAGGCGTCTCCTATTTGGGAATAGAGCCCCCAGGCCTAACCCTAAACCCTAGATCCCTAAAGCCTAAACCCTAAATCCCTAAACCCTCAAACCCTCAAACCCTAAACCCTAAATCCCTAAATCCCAAAATCCCTAAACCCCTAAATCCCGAAACCCCAAACCCTAAACCCTAAATCCCTAAATCCCTAAATCCCGAAACCCTAAACCCTAAACCCTAAATCCCTAAATCCCTAGATCCCTTAACCACAAACCCCAGAACCCTAAACCCCTAAATCCCTGAACCCCCAAACCCCTAAACCCTAAATCCCTAAATCCCTAAACCCTAAACCTAAACCCGAAACCCTAAACCCTAAATCCCTAAACCCTAAACCCTAAACCCTAAATCCCTAAACCCTAAACCCTAAATCCCTAAACCCTAAGTCCCTGAACCTCCAAAAGCCACGGAGTCCAGGGTCCCCGTGCTCGGCAGCTTCCGGATTTACGAGTGCCGCAGGTGCCGTGGGTTTCGGGAGGTTTAGGGTTTAGGGTTTAGGGTTTAGGGTTTAGGGCTTAGGGTTTAGGGTTTAGGGTTTAGGGTTTAGGGTTTAGGGCACGAAAACCCTGTGACGTTTGAAGGAGTTTTAGAGGGGCGCAGGGTGCAGGTTTGGGATGGTTTGGGGATCTCCCTTGTATTTCTGGCCCTGAAGCCCCGAACTCAGACCGCTTGGGTCGCAGGTCCCTGTTTGGGAAGTGCCTGGAGCCGGTGCAAGAAAAGGCCGGGTTTAGGGTTTAGGGTTTAGGGTTTGGGGTTTAGGGTTTAGGGTTTAGGGTTTAGGGTTTAGGGTTTAGGGTTTAGGGCTCATGGATTAGGGTTAGGGAGTTCGTAAGGTTGTGGGCCCCATGATGAACAGACCTCCAAGCATGAAATAGCTCCTGCAGTCGGATCACTTGTCTGCGCCATCTCTGTCTATGTAGTGAACCTTCGGGAAGAACACGCACATGTTGGCAACAATCCCTTGTTTCGGCTCTAAGGGGAGAACAGAAGAGCCTGCAAGCCTTAGCCCTGAACAGAAGCTTATCAACCTTGACTTGAGCCCCACACCTCAAGTGGCTTGACGAACCCTGGGACGCGCTCGAAGATGCGAGGTTTCGAGGATAATCCTTGACTTGGGGAAGAAGTTGTCGTGCTTGCTTGCTGGGTTCTTGTTGGTAGCAGGTGCTTCTCGTGCGGTGTGTGGCTCCTGATCTTATCGCGGCTGCTTAGGAGTGTTCCCAGACCCTTGGGAGGATCCAAAAAAAGAACCCCCTAAACCCTAAACCCTAAACCCTAAACCCTAAACCCTAAACCCTAAACCCTAAACCCTAAACCCTAAACCCTAAACCCTAAACCCTAAACCCTAAACCCTAAACCCTAAACCCTAAACCCTAAACCCTAAACCCTAACCTAACCCTAAACCCTAAACCCTAAACCCTAAACCCTAAACCCTAAACCCTAAACCCTAAACCCTAAACCCTAAACCCTAAACCCTAAACCCTAAACCCTAAACCCTAAACCCTAAACCCTAAACCCTAAACCCTAAACCCTATACTACTAGTGAGCAATTCTTAGGAACCCTGGGAGGGATTTACTTTTTGGAACCTACCAGGGGTCTGGGAGGTGAGAGTGTGCGAGGGCACGATAGGAGCTGCTGCGCTGGCAGGCTGTGGATCCCCCAACGTTGCACCGACCCGGAGAGGTTGGGGAAGGGTCAGCCAGAGCGTCGTCCGTGCTCTGAAGCCCTGACAACAAACCCTAAACCCTAAACCCTAAACCCTAAGCCCTAAACCCAAGACCCTAGACCCTAGACCCTAAACCCTAGACCCTAGACCCTAAACCCTGAACCCTAAACCGAGCTCTCAGCCCCTCGCGTCGAGTATGGAGAATGAATTGCTATTATTATTCTTATTCTTATAATTATTATTCCTATTCTGATCATTATTATTATTATTATTATTATCATTATTATTATTATTATGAGTATTCTTATTCTAATTCTAGTTCTTATGCTCATGATTATGATCATCATTATTCTTATTCTTATTCTTATTCTTATTCTTATTCTTATTCTTATTCTTATTCTTATTCTTATTCTTATTCTTATTCTTGTTCTTGTTCTTGTTCTTATTCTTATATACTCTTATGATTATGATGATGGTTATGATTATGATTATGATTATGATTATGAAGATTATTGTGATTATGACTATGACTATTATTATCATTCCTCTTCTTATTATTAGCATCGTTATTAATATTATTATCAAGATGATGATGATGACGACTATTTCTTATTGTTATTGTTATTAACATTGTTATTAATATTATCATGATTATGATTATTCCTTTTTATCATTATGATTATGATGATGACTATTGTTATAATCACGCTGCCAGGCGGTGCGGCCGGCAGGTGTCAAGCCGAAGGCTGCGGATCTTCGACCTTGTTCTGCATGCGTTATTGCTCTAGGGTTTAGGGTTTAGGATTTAGGGTTGAGGGTTTACGGTCTAGGGTTGAGGGTTGAGGGTCTAGGGTTGAGGGTTGAGGGTTGAGGGTTGAGGGTCTAGGGTTTAGGGTTTAGGGTTAGGGCAGGCCCTTGGGACGTGTTACATTTGCCCTTCTTGGTTTAAGAGGATCATATTCAGGAACATTTTCAGAGGGTTTTAAGGGCCCTTAGGATTAGTATGATGATTCATTAGTATGAGTATTCTAGTTGTGATTCTGGATATTCTGATTTATACGATTTTTCCATTTTTATCATCTTCAACCTTTGTTCTGCTTACTTCTGCATTTTAAACAGTATGGTCATGTCTTATGGTTATCCTTATTATGATGACTTACGAGTATGGTGATGATTGTCAGGATGATTATTCGTGTGATTATGAATTCTGATGATTATCGCCTGGGATGTTCCCCCCTATACTAACAGTCCCTTACTAATCGGGATTATAGTACCCCCCCCCCCCCCCCCCCTATCACAATCCCCATACAGGACTGCTTGTTAGTACAAGTAGAAGGGTGAACATCCAAATCATTGCTTTTTTTTCTTAGGGCTCTAGGATTAAAGGGCTTAGGGCGTGAGAGCCAGCAGCTCAGGCTCAGGGCAGTTACATGGGGCCCTTGATATGGTCCCTTACTGCCCTTAAAGGGTGGTATAGGCCGTGAACTTGTAATGAGGGGTATACAAGGGGTATATAAGGGGTATATAAGGGGTATATAAGGGTATATTAGGGGTATATTAGGGGTATATATATATATATATATAGAGGGTTCCCCTTTTCAGGGCTGCACTCCTCAGCAGCTTGCGAAGCCCGCTCGATTGGCCCGAAGAGGCATTGAACGTTATGCTTCGATTGCATTCCAGTTGGGTGCTGCGACTTGCGTGCCTATGGCACACAGGATGGGGCCAGGTGTTGCCCCTTGGAGTTGTGGGGAATTTCCAGACGGATGGGAATGGTTTGATGATGGCGGTGATTGCGGCTGACTTGGACTTCCGGAAGAATTGGGATCCCTCGATAGTGAGCCGATTTGGCCCCCCGATCATCCCAATTCCAGGTGGGCTGCATCCAAATGTGACAGACATCGCCCTGCGCGTTGGAACATCTGACGGGAAACCAGGCGTTGGTGTCGCCACCGCTTTAGACATGATGTGGGGTCTGGATGGAGAGATGCCCGTCATCGGACTGCTTGGCGCCACCTATTCCTCCGTCTCAATGCCCATTGCCACCTTGGCTGCCGTGCATGAGGTGCCGCAGATCTCCTTTTCCGCCACAAGTCCTGCTCTATCCAACAAGGCCGCATATCCCTTCTTCCTTCGCACTGCGCCGCCCGACAGTCTCCAGGCTCGAGCCTTTTGGAGCTGGATTCTGCACTTTGAGGTTGCCTTGGCAACTTGCTTGTGCCTTTCTCATAGTTGGGTAACTTGTTACATTTTCAAAGGATACTTGAACGAACCCCATAAGAAATAGAATAGTAATCTTTTTATATTATCCCTAAACCCTATAAGGAATGGACATGTGAATTTTTAATATTATCCCAGCCATGAACTAGGTACAGCTTGGAAGGGTATGGAGAGGGCCTTTACAATGCTCTCCTGGACTTGGCTCGAGAAGCGGGCCAACAAGATCGCATCCAGGGCCAAGGCGTCCGATACATGCCGCAGGAGCGCACGCCAAGAGTGTAAAGCTTCTCGCGTTTTCTGCCACTTTCTGCAGACTAACTTCCGTAACTTCCCCCCCCCCCCCCACCCCCCCAAAGGGGTAACCCCTAAACCCTAAACCCCAAACCGCAGGACTTTGCCGCGGAAGAGGCCCGAGCTCTTGCCAGGTCATCTCAGACGATGGGCTCCCACTTTCTTGTCTTGTTCTTCAACTGGTGCCCCGGTCACAACAGCAAGAGAGGAACAGCCCCGACAAACTAATTGTAAACGCTTGCGCGCGCCGCCTCGGCAGCCGGGCCGGCCCCAGGACAGGAAAGGAGGAAAGAGGGTTTCGCAAAGGGGAGGAAGGGCAGCGGGGTTATATAAAGGGGGGGGGGGGGGTGGGGGGGTGGGGGGGGGGGGGTGGGGGGGTGGGGGGGGGGTGGGGGGGGGGTGGGGGGGGGTGGGGGGGGGTGGGGGGGGTTGGGGGGGGGTTTTGAGGCACTCACTGTGTAGGAGGTTTTGACAGGCGCGACCCTCCACGGCATCGGTTTGCAGCTCCTCCAAGCGATTGGGGGGGTCCCACAGGGCGGGGGGGGGGGGTTACGTCACAAAATTTTGCATGGGGGGAAGGGTTGGGTTAGGGGGAAGGAGGCCCGATCCGGGTCTGCTTGTTCCAGACGCTTCTCGGCAGGAAGCCGAGGCGAATTTTCTGCACATAAAGTCAGAGAGGTACTCTGTACTTGTAACTGTACTTGTTGCCATATTCGGGCACTTAAGGGGGCTTATAAGTACAGTTATAAGCACAGTCATGATTGGTTAACAGGTACCATGAACCTCCAAGTAGGAGTTAAACTTGTCCAGGGACATGGCTGGCAACATCTTGGCGGTTCTTGACGAGGAGCAGATGCTCAACCAAGATTGGCAGGTGGTGTGTTCCGACACCTGTGTTGACTACATCCTCGAGATGAGACTTGTGGGGTGCATGATGTTCAGGCCCTTCGCACGAGGCGAGAAGTTTCGGGACTTTGAGTCACTATGGTGGATGATGCACGCAGAAGTCGGGATGGAGGCTTTTGTTATCCAGCAGTACAAGACGGACAACATGAGGGTGCCATTGGAGGCTTAGGGGTACTTGGAAATATTTTTTGATTTTTGGGTACTATAATTCCTAAGAAACAGCAAAAACTATAATTTTTGCTAGGGCTCCAAGTTCAGTATAGGAGAGTGGATTTCTCGAGGACATGAACAGAACAACCTTGGGCTTTAACTCCTACTTCGGATTTTCCTTCGACGCGTACTTCGTCTTCGCCATTGCCATCAACCAGCTGCTGCACGCAGGAATCTTACTTCTCCAACAGCCGAACTTTAAACTTTTTGGGTTTCCTTACCTGGCAGGAATAACAAAGCGTAACCTCTTTTTTTTTCTCCCTCTGGTTGTTGGGGAAGTAAGGAGTTGAGGCCAGCTCAATCCGGGGTCAGTTGCTGCTAGAGGAGATGCGCAGGATTCGCTTCACAGGCATCTCAGGGCAGGTAAGCTTTGATGAGAACGGGGACCGCCTGGTGGCATACGAGCTCCTGAACATTCGGGAAGATGGAGCTGTGGCTTACTTCTCCAACAGCTGAACTTTGAACTTTTTTCGGGTTTCTATGTTTAGTAGGAATAGTAAAGTTGAGCCTTTTTTCCCCTTGGTTCTTGGAGAAGTAAGGTGGTAACTGCCGCCATCCACAGCTCAGGCTCTCCAGGCACCGGCTTCGCATTTGAGAGGGATCTGGTGTGGATGGATGGCTCCAGGCGCAGCTCCCCCCCGCCTCGGCTGAACGCCTGCGATCCCGGATTCTACCAGGACGAGCAGTCGCGACAGTGCAGGCTGTGCCCCAAGGGCAGGATGTGCTTGGGAGGATCTGCGGCACCGGCGGTGGCTTGTCCGCGGGGCAGCTTTGCAAATGACACGGGCATGACAGGCTGCAGCCAGTGTGCAGAAGGAAGCTTCGCTTCCGATGTGGGCGCCGCGGAATGTCTCCCGTGCCTTCCAGGCTATGAGGCACCGCTTCGCGGCATGGAGGCTTGCAGCAGGTGCGCGCCAGGAAGCTACATGCCTTTCACCGGGGCCGCCGAGTGCTTCTCTTGCAACAAGAATCAGGTCACCAGTGAGAGCGGCGCCACCTCCCAGTCAAACTGCCTCTGCCCCCAGGGGTCCTTTATGTGCCAGGGCCATGGTTGCCTTCCCTGCCCCGAGGGCCTTGACTGCCCGGAGGGTCTTGGGCCCCCCCTTCAGCAGGCCGGCTTCTGGGCGGCTTCAGAGGCCGAAAACGGCACTGAGTCTTGCAAATTCTCCGTGTTCCGCTGCCGGGATGCGTACGAGTGCCCAGCAGGTCCCGTGGGCACGTGTGCTTCTGGAAGGGAGGCGCGAGCCTGCAACAACTGCAAGGTGAATCATTTCCCGAGTGATGGAGCTTGCCAGCCCTGCCTCCAGTCAGACGTGCTACCGTCAATCTTGGTTCTGCTTCTGAGCCTCACCATCCTGTATTTGCTCAGCATCTCCTCCATGGATCCAAATCGAGTTCGCACCCAGACCGCACGTATGCATGTTCTTGTGAAGCGACTGCTTTGCAGATCTTTTTGCAGGCACCCAGAGACCCTTCGAATCAGCTAGCAGCTAGCATGGACGTACCATCTGTGTCTTGAGGCTTGAGCGCGCTGACGGCAGCCTCAATTTCAAGCCAGCTCATCATCGCAACCCAGGCGCTGAACTCCATCAGGGAACTCACCATCCAGTGGCACGAGCCTGTGAAGACGCTGCTGACTTTGGCCAAGGTCATGTCCTTCGACTTGCATGTTATCCGGATCACTTGCTTGTATGGGGAGGACAGCCCATTGGTGCACTTTGCAGGTCAGCTGCTGGCGTGTCCAGCGGCCTGTGCGCTTCTGTGTGTGTCCTGGGCCGTATCAAGGCTCAGGGGACGTCCGAAGTCAGTGAACAGCCTGGCGCAAAATTGCGGGGTCTTGGTCTTCGCCTTTTTCTTGTCTATCACCCGGACTACGCTGGTACCTTTTCAATGTATCTTAGGGGGTACTTGGAAATAACTGTTAATTCTTGGGTACTATAATTTCCAAGAAACGGCAAAACAATAATTTTTGCTAGGGTTCCAAGTTCAGTATAGGTATCCCCAGTCCAAACGGAAGCACCTCAATGCTCACAGACCCTTAGGGGTACTTGGAAATAGTTTTTTTTTATTATTTTTTGGGCACTATAATTCCTCAGAAACAGTAAAAAAAGAGGGTTCCAAGTTCAGTATAGGACCCTGGCATCCTATGCCAGTCGCCAGAGCACGCCAGCCTCGTCATCCTTGCGTTGGTCGGATGCTTGGCGGGTTCTCACATTGGAAGTTGTTGTAGATGTTAAACCCTAAACCCTAAACCCCAAACCCCAAACCCTAAACCCTAAATCCTAAACCCTAAACCCTAAACCCTAAACCCTAAACCCTAAACCCTAACCCTAAACCCTAAACCCTAAGGGTCTTCTCACATGTCGGCTGTAAGGAATCCTGACTCAGCCGGCAGCATTCCTTGCATGGGCCAGCTTCGTCACCATCATGTATCCCTCGCATGTGCTCAGCGGCAAGGGCCTCCAGTTCGCACACAGGTACCGCTTCCTCTTCTTCCGCTTCAAGCCGGAGAGTTACTACTACGGTACTTTGGCAGATTGTTTAGGGTTTCGGGTTTAGGGTTCAGACTTCATTGTGACATGTTGCGGTTGCGTGGTGGGTGTCTCGCCGGCTGCCTGAATACGGATCGAGGTGTGGTGATTTTATATCGGAGTGCCTTTGTGGCCCTTGTGCCCATTGTGCTACGTGGACTACCAGAACTCCAGGTTCCACTCATGGGTGCAGTTCTGCTTGTCGTGAATAACCTGCAGACTCACACGTGTCCATGGCGCACCGACAGTGCTAATCTAGTTGATGTGGTTCTCACAGCCTTTCTGCTCTTGATTTTGCTGGGTGCCGCCCCTTTGTTGATGATGGACAGGGAGCAGTCTACTACAGTGCTGGGTTGGTTGCTGTGCATCCCAGTTGTGGGCATTCTGGTTGTGGCCGTGCTCGGGCTTGCAAGGGTGGCGGTCAAAGAGCTTCGAAACAGGCATGACTTGTATGGAATCTTCCTTTGCCACCACAAGGGGGGCGCCGGCAGTTTGTGCCGATTACTCAAGATCTTGATCGCGAAGCACACTGCTTCCCGAGTGTTCTTGGATTGCGACAACTTGGAGAACTTGGACTTTCTCTTCGACATTGTCCGGACGGCCACTAGGAGTGTTGTGGTTGTGCTGACCCCCGAGCTGTTGAAGAGATGCCCAGCTCCAGAGCAGCACCTCTTTTGCCTGTTTGCGTTGAGGCTCTTCATGCAAAAACCGGATTCAGCTTCTACAGGAACTGGTTCGACGGGTGAGAAAATGCTGGTGCAGCATTCGTCATGTCATGTCAGGTCCAAAGTCCAGCTTTTCGCGAAAACCTTTTTGCCTGCTGATGAAGTTTCAATTGCACGCACCGATTTTTAAGCGCTTCCCGCTTTTCTCACACACCTGCTTGAGTGTGCCCGCATGTACGCAGAGTCTGCAAATGTCGAGTCATCTCAAAGGCAAAGGTCTATTTAAATGCGGGTTTACGATATAAGCGGCTAATTGGGGTCCCTACTCTTTGGGGGTCAATTTTAGGGTCCCCCTAGTTTTCGTAAACCCCCAAATCGAGGTCTTCCCAAGTCCTTGCTGAACAAGTCATCTCAACAGTTGGGGGTTTAGGATTTAGGGTTTAGGGTTTCGAGTTTAGGATTAGGGTTTAGGGTTTAGGGAGCAAAGGTCTATCAACATCGTTCATCTCAGGGCTCTATGTCAACTAGGAGCTTCAAAGTCAAACAGGGTCCCCACTCGGAACCCCCCCCCCCCCTCCGTGTAAATCGCAACATCGCAAAGCAAAGGTCTACTTGGAGGTTCATGGTACTTATGAACCAACTATACTACTTACAACCATACTAGGGCACTTAAGGGGCTTATGAGTGTATAACTACACTTCAAATGGGTACTAAGTACCCTGAACTTCCAAGTACATCGAGGCATCACATGGATGCCCCCGCGTGCAGACAAGTAAAATGTCGGGTCGCAAGCGCATGAGGTGAGGAAAACCACACTGCCATTTCTGTCCACCGCCGTCAGAAGAACAAAACAAGGAACATTGCATGTCTGAGGCGAACGTGCTGCACTTGTAGCTAGAAATGGCACAAAGGCTTGGTTGCAGCGTGGCTTTCTCATTGTGGGTGGTGGTACTGCGCGCGGTCCTATCTGCCCATAGATTTTCTGGCGTTTTGCTGCCGAATCGTTGCATTGCGAGCATGCGGTTTGCAGCTCTATTGCCCTTTTGTACATTAAAATGCTGGCTGAAGATGCTGGACGTTTCGGGACCCCACACGCAACGTCACAAGCGCCCGATTCAAATGAATACAGCCATGCAAGAATACTGGTATTTGCAGCATTGTCGTGTGTTTGCACACCACGGCCCAAACTTGTTTGACGTTTCGCAAGCGTCCAAGTGCCACAATCTTGTGAGCGGCTTGCGCGACATGTCCATGGCCAGATGTGGCTGCGCGACCTGCTCGTATCTTGTTATTTTTGCTACAAACGACGGCGACTAACACTACTTTGGGTACGTCACTTGTTTGATGGTATGGTTTTCCTTCATTGTTGTTCAAATCTCGGTGCGTTTGGCTACCTCTCGCTGTTGGACCTAGGAGTGTGGTGCGCTGGCGAAATTACCACAGCCTGGAAAAACGGTGTCACCACTGTGCCGTTGGTCTGTGACGGTTTCCGGCCGTTGTCCGATGAGGCGATGAAGCTGATTCCGAGCTTCTGGACGCCTCAGCAGAAGCAGACCCTAGCCAACTTCGGAGTGCAGATTACCGAGCTCTAGGCTTTACAGCAGCACGCGATTTTTTCACGTTTTTTTTTTTCGGTTGGCCTCACCCATAGTCAGTACCTGAAAGAAGCCTGGGTTGCATTCCCCTAAACCCTTCCCTAGAAAATGGCTCCAATTAACTCGTATGGTCCTTGAGAAGAAAGTTCCTGAACATGATCCTCTTAAACCCAATAAGGGAAAATACATAGTTTAGCAGGATGTGAGCACGGCCTATGAATGGGTGCAAAACGAGCTGGCTCCTGTCGATCTGCCTCGATTTGGTCCAGCGTGCTGCTCAGAACTTCCGGAGCAGGGTTGAGGTTTTACGGTTTAGGGTTTCGGGTTTAGGTTTTAGGGTTTCGGGTTTAGGGTTTAGGTTTTAGACTTTAGGATTTCGGGTTTAGGGTTTAGAGTTTAGGGTTCAGGAGTGAAAGTAGCACACTATGCACGTTCAAAGTCCATGAACGTGTGCAATCATCTGTATGTTTAGGGCAAGTATACTTGAGTATACTTGAGTGCTGTACGTGTGTCAAAGATGAAGTCTCTTGTGGGCCAAGGTTGCCGAACGAGAGGCGGCCGTTGCCCAGATGCTGAGGCGAGGATTTCTCAGAATTGGCTGGGTCCAGGGTCGTTGTAAGGAGGATTGTGCTATTTTACTTACTTCTTTTGGTTGATTCTTTGTTATGGTAGCGTTGTTTTTTCTCTGGGGGGGGGGGGGTTGGGGGGTGGGGGTGGTCTAGAATCTGCATCCAGAATTGGACCCGAATTTTGAGAAACTCTCAGGCTGTGCGGCCTCAAGTCTTGGCGCATGGGTAGTTTTGCCTCTTGCTCCTTACCTGCACCTCGGCTGATGGAGGCCATGCTAGGGTGCAAAAGGAGCGGGCTGGAACGACCTTACAATGTCATGGTGAACTTCGGTGTGCTGGGATGTTTTCGTGGAGTCTTTCCAGTTTAGGGAGAGTAAGTAGAGTCAGTAGAGGAAATGATGATTTGCACTTTCGCGCGGAGTCCCTGAAGCCGAGCCAACTAAGGCCCTGCCAGCAAAGGCGCGAATTCTTATTGCGAGCTCTACGACGGATGCCGAGTCCCTGTCTGCCTGCGAGGCTTAGGGTTTAGGGTTTAGGGTTTGGGGTTTAGGGTTTAGGGTTTAGGGTTAAGGGTTTAGGGTTTAAGGTTAAGGGTCGAATGCCGTTGTGTATGCTGCATGCTAGTCTTCTGTAGCATGTCCAATCCGCACTCAGTCCCGTGCGCTCAATTCAAGATACAGACCTAATCGATCTGGTCGAAGAATATGGGGGTTTACGATATTAGGCTACCTTCTTGGGGTCCTGAAGAAAAGGGCACCCTGCTAGTTGGGGGTCCATTTTAGGGGTCCCCTATTTCGTAAGACAGCATAGAAGCATGTCGTCCCCTGAATCCATCTCCCGTTCCAATATCGCAGTGACTGACTGGCTCATGCTGAGCCATGGAATAGGCTCCACAACCCTGACTAAACGCAAAACCCTAAACCCCAAACCCGAAAAAGCCCGGAACCCTAAACCCTGAACCCTCAACCCCAGATCCCAAACCCCAAACCCCAAACCCCAAACCCCAAACCCCAAACCCCAAACCCCAAACCCCAAACCCCAAACCCCAAACCCCAAACCCCAAACCACAAACCCCAAACCCCAAACCCCAAACCCCAAACCCCAAACCCCAAACCCCAAACCCCAAACCCCAAACCCCAAACCCCAAACCCCAAACCCCAAACCCCAAACCCCAAACCCCAAACCCCAAACCCCAAACCCCGAACCCTGAACCCTAAACCCTGCCCTTTGGCTCAAAATACCTCAAAAGCCCCTCCCTGCCTGCAGGTCTTCAAGGCCCGGACGATGCAGTGCTTTCGAGAATTACGGAGAGAATGGACCATAGGAATCAAGCACTCCTAGCGCGATGAAAAGGAGAAAGAGGTGGTAGTGATGGTGGTGGTGGTGGTGGTGGTGGTGGTGGTGGTGGAAGTGTTGGTGGTAGTAGTAGCCGTCGTCGTAGTCGTAGTCGTAGTCGTAGTCGTACTCGCAGTCGCAGTCGCAGTCGCAGTCGTAGTCGTAGTCGTCGTAGCAGTAGCAGTAGCAGTAGCAGTAGCAGTAGCAGTGGCAGTAGCAGTAGCAGTAGCAGTAGCAGTAGCAGTAGCAGTAGGAGTAGGAGTAGGAGTAGGAGTAGTAGTAGTAGTAGTAGTAGTAGTAGTAGTAGTAGTAGTAGTAGTAGTAGTAGTAGTAGTAGTAGTAGTAGTAGTAGTAGTAGTAGTAGTAGTAGTAGTAGTAGTAGTAGTAAGTAGTAGTAGTAGTAGTAGTAGTAGTAGTAGTAGTAGTAGTAGTAGTAGTAGTAGTAGTAGTAGTAGTAGTAGTAGTAGTAGTAGTAGTAGCAGTACCCGTAGAAGTAGCCGTAGTCACCGTCGCCGTCGCCGTCGTCGTCGTCGTCGTCGTCGTCGTAGTAGTAGTAGTAGGAGCAGTAGTAGTAGTAGTAGTAGTAGTAGTAGTAGTAGTAGTAGTAGTAGTAGTAGTAGTAGTAGTAGTAGTAGTAGTAGTAGTAGTAGTAGTAGTAGTAGTAGTAGTAGTAGTAGTAGTAGTAGTAGTAGTAGTAGGTAGTAGGAGTAGGAGTAGGAGTAGGAGTAGGAGTAGAAGTAGGAGCAGGTGCAGGAGTACGGCAGGAGTAGGAGAGAGGAGGAGTAGGAGAGTAGAAGAGCAGGAGAGTAGGAGAGTAGTAGGAGAGTAGTAGGAGAGTAGTAGGAGAGTAGTAGGAGAGTAGTAGTAGAGTAGTAGAAGAGTAGTAGGAGAGTAGTAGTAGAGTAGTAGAAGAGTAGTAGGAGAGTAGTAGGAGAGTAGTAGGAGAGTAGTAGGAGAGTAGTAGGAGAGTAGTAGTCGGAGGAGGAGCAGCAGCAGTGGTTGTTTGTTGTAGAAGGGTGATTGATGAGGAGGCGGAGCCGCCGTCAATTCTACATGTACAATGTTCCCCCCCCCTCCCTTTCTGCCACCAGGGCTTCTGTTGGGTTTTCGTGCGTGCGACTGGCGAGAGCATCCATGCCCGAAAGATGACTATGGTGCATGTTGCCCGTGCATCCGTGAGGTCCGAGCATCCATGCCCGAAGCCGGATTACGTCAGTGCACCACATTTCACATTGTCCAGCAGTTGAGAGCTTCAGCGCATTGTCTCTGCTACTCCAGATGCAGAAGTTCATGTGAAATCACATCCTTGTGCAGGAGTTGCTGCAAGCCCACGCGGGAGTTGAGTGTGCAGTCGTGCATGATGACCAACAAATGACGACTTTGAGGCCCTGGGCTTACTACCTCGTGGTCTTGCTTTTCCGGGGACTCTTCCGTGATAGCGGCTTCGTCCAGATCCTTCTCAGCGCATATGCTCCTCGCGATAGGAGCTTGGAACTGGTGACTGTTATGGCTGACGCGAACTTCGATTTCCCTCGTGTTGAAGGTGTAGAGCTGGAGTCGTACAACAGAACGTGCTCAACCGACAGCCAAACACTTCCAACCACAGATCGGAAACAAATGGTTCGCGTTCCTTTGCTCGAAAAAGTTGGTTTTGCAAACGCAGGTGAGGTGCTGGCATGTGCACTTGTGCGCATTTCTCCGGCCCAGGCAATTTTCGGGGACATTCTCAAAGTGTTGGCCTTGCCCTTCTCGCCTCTAGCATCAGAGGGCTTGCAACAGCAGCAGGTGGTGGAGATCGCAAAGCGCATGCACAGGTACAAGGAGAATTTTCGGTTTCACAATGGAATACATTGTCACTCCCTGGTATCTGTGGAGAACTACAGTAGGGAGCCCAAACCAAAATGGACAAGACAAGCAACCTTCATGCCTTAGCCTCTGAGAGGACCCGGTGGCTGCGGCTGCGCAGGACGAAGAAGGTGATCGCTTGGTTTGCTTGTCGCCCGGGAACAATGATATCCCGAGCCCGATTGCCATGCTTCCGCAGCAGGCAAGGGGTGTGGTCGTTGTTTTCTGTTGGCTGGCCGTCGGTGCCATCGTCGTCGTCGTAGTGGCGGTCGTAGTCGCAGTAGAACCAGTTGTTGTCGAAGTCGGAGTAGTGTAGTAGGAGTAGTAGGAGTAGTAGGAGTAATAGGAGTAGTAGGAGTAGTAGGAGTAGTAGGAGTAGTAGGAGCAGTAGGAGTTGTAGGAGCAGTAGGAGCAGTAGGAGTAGTAGGAGTAGTAGGAGTAGTAGGAGTAGTAGGAGTAGTCGGGAGTAGTCGGGAGTAGTAGGGAGTAGTAGGAGTAGCAAGAGTAGTCGGAGTAGAAGAAGCAGTAGTAGTCGCAGTAGTCGCAGTAGCCGCAGTAGCCGCAGTAGTCGCTGTAGTCGCCGTCGCAGTAGTTCAGTAGTCGCAGTAGTCGCTGTCGCCGCGACACGACACGAGACGAGACGTAGGAAAGTGGCCTCCTTGCCAGGATTCGGTGACATTCGACGATGAAGATGCCGTCAAATATTGCAAAGTATCTTTCTAGCGACGATGCCCGGCACTGGTTTTGATGCCGAGTTTACATGTGCGGCGCAGAGACCTCTGCTTCGCCAAAAAAGCCGATGTTTGCACTTTTCTAAGTGCGCCACTGCAACTAGCGAGGCCTGGTGCTCAAGCTAAAACAAAATGCATGCCTGGCGCAAAGCCTTTAACGTAATCATAATGAACTGCAGGCGTTGCTCCCTTCCCCTCGACAGTCTTGCTAAATTCAGGCACTTGTCAGGGCCTGGCGGACTGTTCTCGAGGTTTAAGTCTTAAGCAGGCCTTGGCCGCTCTGAAAGTTTGGCCGTTGCTTGCCGGTGCTGCGGTAGTCACATCCTGCAGCACCGAGTGTCGGACGTAGGACGTGCTGGATGATTTGAGTGTAGCGCAAAAAAGCTACCACAGCGAAGCGAGGCCATGTTGTGCCATGTTGCTGGGAAGTTAAACCTAGCTGGAACCATCTAGAGCCCCAGATGCTTGCCGCTTTCATGGCCTCAAGACTTTCACTACCGTTGCACATCTGGTCTCAACCTAAACCCTAAACCCTAAACCCTAAACCCTAAACCCTAAACCCTAAACTCAGGGTTTAGGTGAAAAAGAACCCCCACATGCCACAGGACCGCCCGTCTCGCCTGTGGCGCGTCGTGGGCGGCGCCGCACTGAGTAGTGATCAGTTTTTCGAGATTTAGTGGGTTATAGTGGGTTTAGGGTTTAGGGTTCAGGGTTTAGGGTTCAGGGTTCAGGGTTTAGGGTTTAGGGTTTAGGGTTTAGGGTTTAGGGTTTAGGGTTTAGGGTTCCCGACCGGGATCGTTTAGAGAACTGGCAATGCTGGCATCATGGGGCATTTCGAGTTTAGGGTTTAGGGTTTGGGGTTTAGGGTTCGGGGTTTAGGGTTTAGGTTACCCGACCGGGATCGTTTAGAGAACTGGCAGTGCTGGCATCATGGAGCATTTCGAGCTGCTCTGCATATGCTCCGCCCTAAACCCTAAACCCTACGCCCTAAACCCTCAACCCTAAACCCCAAATCCCGTTGACTTTGGCGCGCAAGGTTTGAGGCAGGGAGGGATCATTGCCAGGGCCTCAGACTCCTTGGCCTGCCTTGAGCATGAATGGGTTTAGGGTTTAGGGTTAGGGTTCAGGGTTCAGGGTTCAGGGTTCAGGGTTCAGGGTTCAGGGTTCAGGGTTCAGGGTTCAGGGTTCAGGGTTCAGGGTTCAGGGTTCAGGGTTCAGGGTTCAGGGTTCAGGGTTCAGGGTTCAAGCTCGGAAACCCCCGCATGAGGGCTGTGCTTGGCATCCCTTGGGACGCCAAGCGCGCACGGGGAGGGGATGAACAAGAATGGCAACATGCGTTGACGCAATGTGTGAACCCAAAATTCTTCTTCTGAGATCTCCGCAGCCTACATGGGGTTTCCGAAACTAGGGGTGCCTTTTTGGGCTCCTTGGTATAAGGGAATCCTGCTTTTTTGGGGCTCTATTCTAGGGGTCCCTTATTTTCGTAAACTCCCACACCTTAAACGGGTTTGGGGTTCAGGGGTTCTAAAATGCCAATGAAAGCACCGATGGCCCAGGTGAGGCACGTCGCTGAGGGAGTTGCCAAGGCGGACTATGCCGGGCGCCTGAAGCATGGCCAGCTGCTCGGGGGGATAGGGTTTAGGGTTTCGGGTTGAGCCAAAACTCTGCAGCTAGGCCCCTAAATCGGAGACGCAAAACGCTACACCCCCAAACCCTCTGCATGCTTGTGAAGAGTCTTGGTTCAGGGTGTCGGTGGGTGGTGTTCTCGCATGTAGATGGGAGAGGGTTTAAGGCTTTTAGGGTTCAGGGCTCCGCAGAAGGATGAAGCTCAAACCCCTAAACAACCCTTCCTGGGTTCTTGTCAAGGAACTTAGTTGCCATGGGAAGGGCACAAAATAGGTGCTCTGTGGTCTGTGGCCACATTTTTGGCAACTTCCTTTTGGTTCCTGAAGAGCTCTGCTTGGGTCAGGTGCACTGGTACAGGAGCTGCAGCGCACGGGTCAAAGGCCATTCAGATCCTTCCACCCGGCCACATACCAATGGACTGCACTTTGTGAAGGGAACCGGTTCCTGAATGCCGCAAGGTTGAGCGTTCAGGGTGTAGGTCTGCCGTCCTACTACCCCGCCCGAGCTACCTGTAACCCCCCTAGGCTTTCTGCAGGGTTGGGCCCCGCTTTGGTTTGTGCAGGAGGCAGGTAGGTAGGGTGGAGGTACCATGGATCATGGTGCAGGGCTTTTGGGTTTCAGGTCGAGGCAGAGTGGGTTGGAGGTCATCTTACGAGTACGTGGCAGGGAATTAAGGATCATACCCACTTCCCTAACTCTCTCTCTTTTTTTAAGAACACTGAGTTATGGTGGCAGAGCATACTCTAAACTCTAAACCCGAAACACATACACCGACTCCCTGGAGGCTCCTCTACGAAAAGTTGCAGGGGGACGGGCCGGATCGAGGCAGGGGGATTGGAGAGCGAGATCACTCTCAACTCTACCTGGGACTCTCTTGACCTACTAATTAAGGGGTACTTACTGTCTAAACTGTAGGTCAATCGAGTCCCAGGTAGACCCTAAACCCCAGACCCCAAACTCTAAGCCCCACACCCTAAACTCCCTGAGAGCGCGTAAAACAGCCAGAGCGGTGCCATAAAGAGCAGCGCATGTCAGCCATCGCTACCTGCCAGGTTGGATTAGCTTTCAGTCGGCCAAAGGAGCCGTTCTGATCCGGAGAGACGACGGAGTAGAATCGGAACAGAAACAAGCAGCGCTTGGTGGGATGTGCGCGCGCTTGTTTTCTTTGCCGTGAGCTTCTTGAAGCCCTAAACCCACAACCTAAGCCCTAAGCCCTAAGCCCTAAGCCCTAAGCCCTAAGCCCTAAGCCCTAAGCCCTAAGCCCTAAGCCCTAAGCCCGAAGCCCGAAGCCCGAAGCCCGAAGCCCGAAGCCCTAAGCCCTAAGCCCTAAGCCCGAAGCCCAAGCCCGAAGCCCTAAGCCCTAAACCCTAATCCCTAAGCCCTAAGCCCTAAGCCCTAAGCCTTAAGCCCTAAGCCCTAAGCCCTTTTTCCCTAAACCCTTGGCCCTAAACCCTAAACCCTAAACCCTAAACCCTAAACCCTTAACCCTAAGCCCTAAACCCTAAACCCTAAACCCTAAACCCTAAACCCTAAACCCTAAACCCTAAACCCTAAACCCTAAACCCCAAACCCTAAACCCCAAACCCTAAACCCTAAACCCGAAACCCTAAACTGAGTGAGCCCGGGGCCGTCGAGCAGGGCGAACGCACCGAAGCCGGCAGGCGAGGTAGCTCCGGCGAAGGCACCAGCCAGCCCCCAACGCGAGACCTCAAACACCGAAATTTCCGGACAACTTTTCGGCTTTTGGGGCTTATGCAACCAATAGCGAAATGGAAAACAAAAGCGCGATCAGAGTTCAAAAGAACCCTAAGCCCGTAGAGGTTAAGGTAAGGGTGGAGCGGCAGCGCCAGCGGGGGTGGGCTTCTGCAGGTCAGGGCGCGTGCCTGGGTGCTTTCAGCACCAGCGCGCCCACTCATTGAGACACCCTAAACCCTAAACCCTAAACCCTAAACCCTAAACCCTCAACCCTAAACCCCAAACCCTAAACCCTAAACCCTAAACCCTACACCCTCAACTCAGAGTCACGGGCAGTCGCCGCAGTGGTGGGGAGACCTGACAGCCGCGGAAGTCAGGGAAATGGGGGGGGAGGGGCGGCCCTGCAAGCCCATGACAGCCAATTGAACATGCGCAAAGATCAAGACCAGAACGCCCCTAAACTCTGAAGATCCCTGAGTCTAAGCTCTGCCATTTCCCCTACCCTAAACTCCAAACCCCAAACCCCAAACCCTAAGCCCTAAACCCTAAACCCTAAACACTAAACCCTAAACCCTAAACCCTAAACCCTAAACCCCAAACCCTAAACCCTAATCCTTAAACCCTAAGCCCTAAACCCTAAACCCTAAACCCTAAACCCTTACCCTAAACTCCAAAAACCTGCAGCCACTCCCCGGAGCTTCCTGGAAGCTCAGAGCCATGGCCTTGGATCTGTTCCTTTTGGGACCACCGAGGCCTCTTCTGCTGTAGCACTAGGGTTTCGGGTGTAGGGTGTAGGGTTTAGGGTGTAGGGTTTAGGGTTTAGGGTTTAGGGTTTAGGGTTTGGGGCTTAGTAGGGGACCTTAATGATTAGAATGGGGGTTTTTGGGGGTGAAGTGGACATAAGTCTGGTGCAGCGAAAGTGAAACAGGAGTGATTTGTACACTCAATCAGTGGAGAGAGTGAACCTAAAGGTATGACGTGTGTAAAAGCGACTCGCGGTGACAATAGTTTCTTCAATGTACGGTTTGGGGACCATTATAATATAGGGACCGGCCCATAAGGGAATACTATTGGAGAATTCTTCCGGCCCCATAGGGTTTAGGGTTTAGGGCTTAGGGTTTAGGGTTTAGGGTTTAGGGCTAGTCACATGGCCCTGGATCCTTTTGTGCTTGGGGCTCAGGCAGGGCTGCTGTGTTTAGTGTAAGACTCGGCTATGTCATGGTGGGTGCTAAACCCTAAACCCTAAACCCGAAACCCTAAAGCCTAAACCCTAAACCCCAAAGTTGTTGCAGTTGTTGCGCTTGTTCTTCAGATTGTTCAGCTCCTGTGGCATGACATGCCGGATGGAGCCATCCCCGCAACAAACCTAAACCCTAAACCCTAAACCCTAAACCCTAAACCCTAAACCCTAAACCCTAAACCCTAAACCCTAAACCCTAAACCCTACACCCTACACCCTACACCCTACACCCTAAACCCTAAACCCTAAACCCTAAACCCTAAACCCTAAACCCTAAACCTCAGCCCTAAAAAGCCCTGAAGCCCTGAACCCTGAATCCTATAACCCCAAACCCCACACTCTAACCCTAAACCCTAAACACTAATGTTGCTTTCAGGATGCCGCTCTGGACCCGCTGTGGTCGGAAAGAAGACAACCAGAAGACAAAGTGGTTGGGCTGAAGTTCAAGTCAAGGCAGGGAAGTGCTAACCGTCGACCCTTCATGACCTGACGTGGGCGCTTTCTGATTTTGCATCGGATTCGCTTTTGCAGCCGTTTGGGAACTGTCGAGCCCTCAGACCCTCTTCTGCTTTTCGTCACCCGCTGCATCCTGCCATGTCCGTCAGTGCAGAGGAGGTTGCCAAACACAACAAGGCCTGGGAGCATCCGAGAATCCTGAGAATGAAGGCTGAATGGTTTGCGATTGCGACGTCCAACTTTCGAGTTTAGATTTTGGTTGGTCGGCATTTGTGTTGTGGTCCGGTTCATCTTCGCAAGTAGCTTCCTGCGAAGATCATGAGCTGTTTGAAAGTTCCCCCCTGGAACATTTCCCTTAATGCCTCCGCCAGACGACTTGGATTGGTGAGTGTCCAGCCGCAGCCCGCACAGGACAGCGACTGCTGGGTGATCGTTGGGGACCAGGCGAGTCGCATTGTTGTTGAGGCTGCGAGGGTTGAGCAGGCATGCTGTATGTCGGTGCATTCGCACGGTGAGGTGTTGGATGTGACTAACTTTCTCGCCGATCATCCCGGTGGCAAGAAGTCGATCATGATGTTCGCCGGAAAGGACGCGACCGAGGAGTGCCTCGGATGATTCAGCGGCGACTCAGCGACCCTTTTTTGCTAGGGGGGGGGGGTGGTTCGACGCGGTAGGAGAGGTGATACGTGATCCGAAGCTGAGCCCAGCGCCCGCCTTCGTGTGTCTTGAAATGTCTTGAAGTCTTGAAGGTTCGACATGCTCCACGACCGCAAGGCGGGGAAGATCCCTACCAGCTCCATCCAGATCCTACCACTGAACTGGTCGCTCTCGCTCCGTTGCCATTCCATGTCGCATGCAGGTGATCAAGAAGTATGGCCTGGATGAGGCACACTTCACACCGCAGTAGGTGTTTTGTGCGTGTGTGTGTGTGTGTGTGTGTGTGTGTGTGTGTGTGTGTGTGTGTGTGTGTGTGTGTGTGTGTGTGTGTGTGTGTGTGTGTGTGGTGTGTGTGTGTGTGTGTGTGTGTGTGTGTGTGTGTGTGTGTGTGTGTGTGTGTGTGTGTGTGTGTGTGTGTGTGTGTGTGTGTGTGTGTGCGTGTGACGTTGGTGTGCGAATGTGCACCTGAGACCAGGGCACGGTTGTGCTGAAGGGCACGATCAAGAAGTGATGGGTGCCGACCTGAACCAAGGCGTACTGGTGTGCTTGCTTGCGTTTCGTACAGTCTCGCGCAGCTTGTGAGGTCATGCTGTGCGTCAGAGGGCTTGCTGAGAGGATTCCCCTCTCCAGTCCCTCCCGTGTACAACAGTTGTTAGAGGGATTGCTTCCCTTCCGAGTTCGCTTGCAGAACTCTCATGGAGTTTGAAAGATGCTATCCCGTCTGTACCGGCTGAGCGAGTTGAAAATCTGCGTCGGCCACTGGAGCACGTCAGGCAGCACATTCAGCAGAATGAGCAGCTGTCTCTTGGTCTCTGCGCAGGGTGGTCGCTCTGGACTGCTTCATCTAAGCGGCGTGTGCTACAGGCGCGCTTGAGGATGTTAGGTTGTTCAGGTCTTGCGGGAAGGGTATCGGGTTGTTTGTTGGTATTCTGATTTCTGGGAGCACCGTCGTGGTCCGTAGTATGAGGCTTTGTACGCTGCCCGTACATGGCTCCGGCTTGGGTCTGCAGCCATTTCGGGAACTTTCGAGCCCTCGTACCCTCTTCTGCTTCGCGTCACCCGCTGCATCTTGCCATGTCCGTCAGTGCAGAGGAGGTTGCCAAGCACAACAAGGCCTGGGAGCATCCGAGAATCCTGAGAATGAAGGCTGAAAGGTTTGCGACGTTTGCGACGTCCAACTTTCGAATTTAGATGTTGGTTGGTCGGCATTTGTGTTGTGGTCCGGCTCATCTTCGCAAGTAGCTTCCTGCGAAGATCATGAGCTGTTTGAAAGTTCCCCCCTGGAACATTTCCCTTAATGCCTCCGCCAGACGACTTGGATTGGTGAGTGTCCAGCCGCAGCCCGCACAGGACAGCGACTGCTGGGTGATCGTAGGGGACCAGGCGGGCGAGTCGCATTGTTGTTGAGGCTGTGAGGGTTGAGCAGGCATGCTGTATGTCGGTGCATTCGCACGGTGAGGTGTTGGATGTGACTAACTTTCTCGCCGATCATCCCGGTGGCAAGAAGTCGATCATGATGTTCGCCGGAAAGGACGCGACCGAGGAGTGCCTCGGATGATTCAGCGGCGACTCAGCGACCCTTTTTTGCTAGGGGGGGTGGTTCGACGCGGTAGGAGAGGTGATAGGTGATCCGAAGCTGAGCCCAGCGCCCGCCTTCGTGTGTCTTGAAATGTCTTGAAGTCTTGAAGGTTCGACATGCTCCACGACCGCAAGGCGGGGAAGATCCCTACCAGCTCCATCCAGATCCTACCACTGAACTGGTCGCTCTCGCTCCGTTGCCATTCCATGTCGCATGCAGGTGATCAAGAAGTATGGCCTGGATGAGGCACACTTCACACCGCAGTAGGTGTGCGTTTGTGCGTGTGACGTTGGTGTGCGAATGTGCACCTGAGACCAGGGCACGGTTGTGCTGAAGGGCACGATCAAGAAGTGATGGGTGCCGACCTGAACCAAGGCATACTGCGGTGCTTGCTTGCGTTTCGTACAGTCTCACGCAGCTTGTGAGGTCATGCTGTGCGTCAGAGGGCTTGCTGAGAGGATTCCCCTCTCCCGTCCCTCCCTGTACAACAGTTGTTAGAGGGATTGCTTCCCTTCCGAGTTCGCTTGCAGAACTCTCATGGAGTTTGAAAGATGCTATCCCGTCTGTACCGGCTGAGCGAGTTGAAAATCTGCGTCGGCCACTGGAGCACATGCGGCAGCACATTCAGCAGCATGAGAAGCTGTCTCTTGGTCTCTGCGCAGGGTGGTCGCTCTGGACTGCTTCATCTAAGCGGCTTGTGCTGCAGGCGCGCTTGAGGATGTTAGGTTGTTCAGGTCTTGCGGTAAGGGTATCGAGTTGTTTTTTGGTTATTCTGATTTCTGGGAGCACCGTCGTGGTCCGTAGTATGAGGCTTTGTACGCTGCCCGTACATGGCTCCGGCTTGGGTCTGCAGCCATTTCGGGAACTTTCGAGCCCTCCTACCCTCTTCTGCTTCGCGTGACCCGCTGCATCTTGCCATGTCCGTCAGTGCAGAGGAGGTTGCCAAGCACAACAAGGCCTGGGAGCATCCGAGAATCCTGAGAATGAAGGCTGAAAGGTTTGCGACGTTTGTGACGTCCAACTTTCGAATTTAGATGTTGGTTGGTCGGCATTTGTGTTGTGGTCCGGTTCATCTTCGCAAGTAGCTTCCTGCGAAGATCATGAGCTGTTTGAAAGTTCCCCCCTGGAACATTTCCCTTAATGCCTCCGCCAGACGACTTGGATTGGTGAGTGTCCAGCGGCAGCCCGCACAGGACAGCGACTGCTGGGTGATCGTTGGGGACCAGGCGAGTCGCATTGTTGTTGAGGCTGTGAGGGTGTAGCAGGCATGCTGTATGTCGGTGCATTCGCACGGTGAGGTGTTGGATGTGACTAACTTTCTCGCCGATCATCCCGGTGGCAAGAAGTCGATCATGATGTTCGCCGGAAAGGACGCGACCGAGGAGTGCCTCGGATGATTCAGCGGCGACTCAGCGACCCTTTTTTGCTAGGGAGGGGTGGTTCGACGCGGTAGGAGAGGTGATAGGTGATCCGAAGCTGAGCCCAGCGCCCGCCTTCGTGTGTCTTGAAATGTCTTGAAGTCTTGAAGGTTCGACATGCTCCACGACCGCAAGGCGGGGAAGATCCCTACCAGCTCCATCCAGATCCTACCACTGAACTGGTCGCTCTCGCTCCGTTGCCATTCCATGTCGCATGCAGGTGATCAAGAAGTATGGCCTGGATGAGGCACACTTCACACCGCAGTAGGTGTTTTGTGTGTGTGTGTGTGTGTGTGTGTGTGTGTGTGTGTGTGTGTGTGTGTGTGTGTGTGTGTGTGTGTGTGTGTGTGTGTGTGTGTGTGTGCGTGTGTGTGACGTTGGTGTGCGAATGTGCACCTGAGACCAGGGCACGGTTGTGCTGAAGGGCACGATCAAGAAGTGATGGGTGCCGACCTGAACCAAGGCGTACTGCGGTGCTTGCTTGCGTTTCGTACAGTCTCGCGCAGCTTGTGAGGTCATGCTGTGCGTCAGAGGGCTTGCTGAGAGGATTCCCCTCTCCCGTCCCTCCCTGTACAACAGTTGTTAGAGGGATTGCTTCCCTTCCGAGTTCGCTTGCAGAACTCTCATGGAGTTTGAAAGATGCTATCCCGTCTGTACCGGCTGAGCGAGTTGAAAATCTGCGTCGGCCACTGGAGCACATGCGGCAGCACATTCAGCAGCATGAGAAGCTGTCTCTTGGTCTCTGCGCAGGGTGGTCGCTCTGGACTGCTTCATCTAAGCGGCTTGTGCTGCAGGCGCGCTTGAGGATGTTAGGTTGTTCAGGTCTTGCGGTAAGGGTATCGAGTTGTTTTTTGGCTTTCTGATTTCTGGGAGCACCGTCGTGGTCCGTAGTATGAGGCTTTGTTCGCTGCCCGTACATGGCTCCGGCTTGGGTCTGCAGCCATTTCGGGAACTTTCGAGCCCTCCTACCCTCTTCTGCTTCGCGTGACCCGCTGCATCTTGCCATGTCCGTCAGTGCAGAGGAGGTTGCCAAGCACAACAAGGCCTGGGAGCATCCGAGAATCCTGAGAATGAAGGCTGAAAGGTTTGCGACGTTTGCGACGTCCAACTTTCGAATTTAGATTTTGGTTGGTCGGCATTTGTGTTGTGGTCCGGTTCATCTTCGCAAGTAGCTTCCTGCGAAGATCATGAGCTGTTTGAAAGTTCTCCCCTGGAACATTTCCCTTAATGCCTCCGCCAGACGACTTGGATTGGTGAGTGTCCAGCAGCAGCCCGCACAGGACAGCGACTGCTGGGTGATCGTTGGGGACCAGGCGAGTCGCATTGTTGTTGAGGCTGTGAGGGTGTAGCAGGCATGCTGTATGTCGGTGCATTCGCACGGTGAGGTGTTGGATGTGACTAACTTTCTCGCCGATCATCCCGGTGGCAAGAAGTCGATCATGATGTTCGCCGGAAAGGACGCGACCGAGGAGTGCCTCGGATGATTCAGCGGCGACTCAGCGACCCTTTTTTGCTAGGGAGGGTGGTTCGACGCGGTAGGAGAGGTGATAGGTGATCCGAAGCTGAGCCCAGCGCCCGCCTTCGTGTGTCTTGAAATGTCTTGAAGTCTTGAAGGTTCGACATGCTCCACGACCGCAAGGCGGGGAAGATCCCTACCAGCTCCATCCAGATCCTACCACTGAACTGGTCGCTCTCGCTCCGTTGCCATTCCATGTCGCATGCAGGTGATCAAGAAGTATGGCCTGGATGAGGCACACTTCACACCGCAGTAGGTGTTTTGTGCGTGTGTGTGTGCGTGTGTGTGACGATGGTGTGCGAATGTGCACCTGAGACCAGGGCACGGTTGTGCTGAAGGGCACGATCAAGAAGTGATGGGTGCCGACCTGAACCAAGGCGTACTGGTGTGCTTGCTTGCGTTTCGTACAGTCTCGCGCAGCTTGTGAGGTCATGCTGTGCGTCAGAGGGCTTGCTGAGAGGATTCCCCTCTCCCGTCCCTCCCTGTACAACAGTTGTTAGAGGGATTGCTTCCCTTCCGAGTTCGCTTGCAGAACTCTCATGGAGTTTGAAAGATGCTATACCCGTCTGTACCGGCTGAGCGAGTTGAAAATCTGCGTCGGCCACTGGAGCACATGCGGCAGCACATTCAGCAGCATGAGAAGCTGTCTCTTGGTCTCTGCGCAGGGTGGTCGCTCTGGACTGCTTCACCTAAGCGGAGTGTGCTGCAGGCGCGCTTGAGGATGTTAGGTTGTTCAGGTCTTGCAGTAAGGGTATCGAGTTGTTTTTTGGTTTTCTGATTTCTGGGAGCACCGTCGTGGTCCGTAGTATGAGGCTTTGTTCGCTGCCCGTACATGGCTCCGGCTTGGGTCTGCAGCCATTTCGGGAACTTTCGAGCCCTCCTACCCTCTTCTGCTTCGCGTGACCCGCTGCATCTTGCCATGTCCGTCAGTGCAGATGAGGTTGCCAAGCACAACAAGGCCTGGGAGCATCCGAGAATCCTGAGAATGAAGGCTGAAAGGTTTGCGACGTTTGCGACGTCCAACTTTCCAATTTAGATTTTGGTTGGTCGGCATTTGTGTTGTGGCCCGGTTCATCTTCGCAAGTAGATTCCTGCGAAGATCATGAGCTGTTTGAAAGTTCCCCCCTGGAACATTTCCCTTAATGCCTCCGCCAGACGGCTTGGATTGGTGAGTGTCCAGCGGCAGCCCGCACAGGACAGCGACTGCTGGGTGATCGTTGGGGACCAGGCGAGTCGCATTGTTGTTGAGGCTGTGAGGGTTGAGCAGGCATGCTGTATGTCGGTGCATTCGCACGGTGAGGTGTTGGATGTGACTAACTTTCTCGCCGATCATCCCGGTGGCAAGAAGTCGATCATGATGTTCGCCGGAAAGGACGCGACCGAGGAGTGCCTCGGATGACTCAGCGGCGACTCAGCGACCCTTTTTTGCTAGGGGGGGGGTGGTTCGACGCGGTAGGGGAGGTGATAGGTGATCCGAAGCTGAGCCCAGCGCCCGCCTTCGTGTGTCTTGAAATGTCTTGAAGACTTGAAGGTTCGACATGCTCCACGACCGCAAGGCGGGGAAGATCCCTACCAGCTCCATCCAGATCCTACCACTGAACTGGTCGCTCTCGCTCCGTTGCCATTCCATGTCGCATGCAGGTGATCAAGAAGTATGGCCTGGATGAGGCGCACTTCACACCGCAGTAGGTGTTTTGTGCGTGTGTGTGTGCGTGTGTGTGACGATGGTGTGCGAATGTGCACCTGAGACCAGGGCACGGTTGTGCTGAAGGGCACGATCAAGAAGTGATGGGTGCTGACCTCAATCAAGGCGTACTGCGGTGCTTGCTTGCGTGGCTGCGGAGCTCGCATTGGCACAGTCTCGCGCAGCTCCTGACTCTTGAGGTCATGCTGTGAGTGAGTCAGAGGGCTTGCTGAGAGGATGCCCCTCTCCCGTCCCTCCCCTGTACAAACAGTTGTTAGAGGGATTGCTTCCCTTCCGAGTTCGCTGGCAGAACTCCCATGGATCTCTCGTGAAGTTTCAAAGATGCCATACCCGCCTGTGCCGGCTGAGCGAGTTGAAAATCTGCCCTAAACCCTAAACCCTAAACCCTAAACCCTAAACCCTAAACCCTAAACCCTAAACCCTAAACCCTAAACCCTAAACCCTAAACCCTAAACCCTAAACCCTAAACCCCAAACCCTAAACCCTAAACCCTAAACCCTAAACCCTAAACCCTAAACCCTAAACCCCAAACCCTAAACCCTAAACCCTAAACCCTAAACCCTAAACCCTAAACCCTGAACCCTGAACCCTGAACCCTAAACCCAACTGGAACACTTCCGGCCTGGTCATGTTGCAGGTCCATTGACATGGTCAGAGATGGCCATGCTTAAGACCATGAGTATTACTATCCTCATACTTCGTATTTGGTACTATTATTACTATTTTTCTTTACTACTAGCATTACAGTTATCACTAGTATCACTATGATGGCTTTGAGTTTTAGTATAACCAGTATTGCTATGAGTAATGCTATTGTGATTCTTGCCATTCTTACTCTCATTATTTGTATTACTTCATTATCATTCTTATTTCGGGTATGTATAAAACACAGCCATCCGCCAAACATGGTTGTGCTTCTGCAAAGCTCTCCTGGCTGAACTAGTAGGTTGAATGAGAGTTCCAAGCGTCATACTTGTGCCACAGGAGCACCCTTGAAGACTTTGGGGGGTTGTTCGTGCTTGCACTTTGGGCAGCGGGCTTGGTGGATTCTCAGGAGCACTGCAACGGTATGAGACTTTGTGCGGGATTTTGTTCGCCATTATTTCGTCCGCACATGTAGCCGCATCTTGGCCCTCATGGGCTGTGCTACATCGCGTCGCCTGACTGCAGAGGAGGTTGCCAAGCACAACAAGGCCTGAGAGTGCCCCAAGATTGTTTGACATTTCAAAAACTTTGGGGAATTCAACTCTTGGGGTTTTGGGCAGATATTGCTCCGGGAAAGCCCTGCTGTGAAGCGTAGCAATGATCACCAAATTCTGCGTGGATTTTCTCGTGATTCATGCCTCTGGTGCGTTGGCAGCTTGCAATTTTCGGGTTGGCGAGTGTCCAGCGACCTCACAGGAACGCGATTGCTGGGTGATCGTTGGGGACCAGGCAGGTCGCATTGTTGTTTAGGTTGTGAGGGTCGAGCAGGCATGCTGCATGTGTGGGCATATTCGCACGGTCAGGTGTTGGATGTGACCAACTTTCTCGAAGATCATCCCGGTGGCAAGAGATCGATCACCAAATTTGCTGGCAAGGACGGGACGAAAGAGTGACTCGGCGGCCCCCTGATGAGGGACAGCCATGTGGGGTAGGACATAGGGACATAGGAGGGTGGTCCAGATCTGAGCTCAATGTCTGCGTGTGCCCGAAAGGTTCGACATGGTCCATGACCGCAAGGCTGCGCGCATCCTGTTCTTGGACTCCTCTTGTTGCTACACATCTCACCTGCAGGTGATCAAGACACATGGCCTTGACAAGGCACGTTCCGAAGCAGCGCAGTGCAGCATGTGGGTCCGTCCGTGTGTGTGTGTGTGTGTGACGTTGGTGTGCGAATGTGCACCTGAGACCAGGGCACGGTTGTGCTGAAGGGCACGATCAAGAAGTGATGGGTGCAGACCTCGACCCAGCTGTACTGCGTTGTTTGCTTGCGTGGCTGCGGAGCTCGCATGGGCACAGTCTCGCGCAGCTCGTGACTCTTGAGGTCATGCTGTGAGTGAGTCACAGGGCTTGCTGAGAGGATGCCCCTCTCCTGTACAAATTTCGCTTGGGCATCGTTTTGCGGAGCTCGCTTAGCTCTTTATGGCGTTTGAATGACTGTTCTTATTTCTCTTACTACAACCGTTGTTTTTACTTTTGTATTTCTTACTACTTTTATTCCTAGTGTTAGTAGTATGAGTACTTTTATTGTTTCGAGCTAATTCCTACTGCTCCCACTACCACTACCAGTACCGCTACCACTGCCACTGCCACTGCCACTACCACTACCACTACCACTACCACTACCACTACCACTACCACTACCACTACTGCTGCTGCTGCTGGTGGTGGTGCTGCTGCTGCTGCTGCTACTGCTGCTGCTACTACTACTACTACGACGACGACTACTACTACTACTACGACGACGACGACGACGACGACGACGACGACGACGACGACGACGACGACGACGACGACGACGACGACGACTACGCTGCTACTACTGCTGCTCCTGCTGCTGCTACTACTCCTGCTGCTGCTGCTACTACTCCTGCTGCTGCTGCTGCTACTACTACTACTACTGCTACTACTACTACTACTACTACTACTACTACTACTACTACTACCACTACCACTACTACTACTCGTACTAGTACTGGTACTACTACTACTACTACTACTACTACTACTACTACTACTACTACTACTACTACTACTACTATTACTACTATTACTCTTACTGCCCCTAATTCTCCTTGCTTCTCTTGATGCCTTCTCTGTCGAGCGACGGCTAAATTCCGCGTGTCTCTAGGTAGCCTTGGGCGGGACATTTGCAAATTTGCTGTGAAAGCGATACCTAACCCCAACAGCGATGCCCCCAGATGAGAGCCAGTTCTATCCTCACAATTTGAGTTGAGTAGCTTGCTGAGACAGTGCATGTCGCTTGAAGTCCTCTTGTAAGAGTGCCCCAGGTGCTCCATGACCCGTAATGAATGTCCCAGCCGTGGCCTCTAGGTTTTGCCGCGCGCTCACTTACTCTCATTATTCTGAAGAATTCGATTTCTCTTTTTACAGCAAACTGTAGCTACAATTTCACTACTACTCTTAGTACCGTTATGACGATCATTACAAACAATACACTTATCACTGTGCTGCTATCATGAGACGGCTCTGCGCTATGCTGCGCCCATGCCCTCCGGCTGAGCGAGTTTAAAACTCTGCGTCGGCCAGAGAGTTCGCGGAGATGATCAGCACGATGGCCTGCAAAAAGAGGCGTTGGCTACACAGTAGTCATAGCAAGCACGCTGTAATCAAACAGAAAGAAAGGAGGAGGAAAGTAGTAGCAGTCACAAGACCAGCTATCGTAGTATTGCTCAGAATATAGGAAGATCGTAGTGCTAGTAGTAAGAATTCGTATTTTCATGGGAGCAATCGCATCGGCAGCAGTAATGGTCAAAGATAACAACAACTACTTTCACAACAGCAACAAACATCATTTCGAGCAGCATCTCGTAAACCCTAAACCCTAAACCCTAAGCCTTGAACCTTGAACCCTAAACCCTAAACCCTAAACCCTAAACCCCAAACCTTTTTGGCTGCAGGCTGCCCGTTCTCGGCTTCAGCCGGGCCGTGGCACAGGCGCGCTTGAAGAGGTTTGGAGGTTCAGGGCTTAGGGTTTAGGGATCAGGGCTTAGGTTGCATGATCTACACGAAACCTTAAGCCCTAAACCCTTTTTCTACCCCCTAAGCCCCTACACCCTACACCCTACACCCTAAACCCTAAACCCTAAACTCTAAACTCCGGAAAATCCGTTTCAGCCTGAACCCTTTCTAAGGCAAGATGCCTTTCTGTTGGCGGGCCGCAGGCCTTCGACTCTTTGCGTCGTCGTTTGTCTCGAGATCCCTTTCCTCTCACTTCGGGGGGTGGCTGCGTGTCTCCTCATTCTTGGAGGACGGGGTCCGCTTCTGTCTTCTTTTTCTCCACTGTCGGTCTGGGGTTGATCGATGTTAGCGAAGTATAACTAAGCTCTTCTCCTCGCCCGAAGCTCCTGGTCCGGGTCTCACATCTAGGAGAGACCCCCCAAAGAATCCCCAGCATATTCTTGGAGTGCTGACCTCCCGAAAACCCCCCGCAGAGTATCCCTGGAGTGCCCACCACCGGAGAAGCCGTCAAAGGATACCCGCAAGGTATCTCTGGAGCATCCGCCCCCAGTGTCCCGGGAGTGCCCAGCCCCAGAGATAGTGCCCGATTCCATCCCCCACGCTGCCGCAGAATGTCCCTGGAGAGGCTCAAAGTATGAAGTCTTGGCTTCCTTCCGAGTCATCTTTGCTGTGTGGTATCTTCTCCTGGCTTCCATGACTGTGGAGTATTCATTGCTTGCAGACCAGGAGCCCATTAGATATGGGGGATTCTCTAACTCACGGGCTCCGTACTATACTAGGAGACCAAAAAGGACCGTATCCTCGAACACCTCCCATATGGTCTCGTTCGAGCAGAGAGGACTCCCGTTAAATCGTAGATGAACAGTAAAATAGTAACCGTTACTGAGAATTGTAATGATAGACACGGTCCTGTCCAGCGGCTTCGGCCATTGCTACCTGCCAGGCTGGATCAACTTTCCGAAGGAGCCTTTGCAACCGGCAGATCGGATGGAGCGCAGCAGAAAAGAACATGTAGATGTCCGCACGAGATGGATGATTCAGCGCAGCTGGTCTTGACTGCCCGTGCAGCAGGTCGCAATGCTAACCCGCAGCCGTCCACAAGAGACCTCACAGTGACAAGCAATGAGTACAACAAACCGA